AATCTAGTGCAGCATTTCCTGAAACCAAAATTAAAGAGAAATTAATTATCGATTTAAAATTAAAGAAAATATATTATATCGATGAAATACATTTGCAACAACAAAGAAATATTTGTTTACTTGCCTATTGCCCGACCTCTCTACTAAATTTAGCCTAAATACAATTTAGCTGAAATCTGGAGCGAGGGAGGTGGCGAGTCAACGTAAAGCGAGGAAAGAGAGGGTGAACACGTACAATATACCATATGACTTCTTGAGAGAAAAAAAAATTCCTTGCAAGCTTTTACACTAATGAAAAGCCGCCATTCTGGTAATATGCATGTGGCACTTCCCGATAACTTGGATGCTTAACTTCTAAAGCATCTTCTCGCGTTCGCAATACTTAAACCTTAGCTGACCTCAGCTGGCAAGGTTTTGTCTGTGTGGATTAGTGTTCTGGACATAACAAAGGAACAGAATGAATATCAAAAATGAACTGCGTCCCATCCTTCTTTGCCTTCTTATTTTTTTCTGTCTCTATAGAGGTACGCACCTATAAAACTCTTCCTCTGACTCTGTCTAGGATACTCCTGGCTAGTCCTAGTGCTTCTTGGGCCATGTCTCGAGAGTAAACGTCGTGTGGAATCCGAGGAAAACAAACCTGATCGGGGTAGCGCATGCGCGTTGAATCACCCAGGCAACTCTCAAGTTGGCTTGATAGCGTGGTCAACTGCGAATCATCCAGTGTCAGTGAGTTTTGGACTAAGTTGTGAATGTTAGTCTTGTGAGCATCTACAGAATATTGGGCAGCCTTCAGTGCTTTTTCCGCAGCCTGCAACACGAACAGCCTTTCTTGTTACTCGGTCATATGATTGGAAATAAATAATTACACATAGAGCAGTTTTCACTTAGGCCTCGAAATAAATTCGCATTTGTTTGGATTTTGCATTACTACACCGGGAGCTTGGTTTAAACCTCACGCCACTTTTTGATCCAATCAGTGGTAAAGGACTGTGCAATAATTACCTGGAGG